GAATAACAACATATATATATGTTCCTAAACCATCGGTGGCTGCATGAGTAATTTCAGCAAGGTTTTCATTTGAGTCTCTTTGAAACTGTGTTTATCCTGTGAAGTAATCCAGTTCCTCTACTGATAAGCATATGGAGAAAGTGTCAGTTAAAATAGTCACTTGCCATAAAATAAAATGCTTTTATTGCAATTAAACTCTTCATATTATTCAAGTTGGCACTAAAATACTGCTTAGGAACAAAAGAGCTCACAAGACAACATGCTAGATGAAAATTTCAGGACATGTTCCAAAAGCAGCAAGTAAAGCAAACACTTGCTGAGGAAGCTTTAACAGAAACATGTATTTAGACTGCTCAGTGAATTTGCTCTTCCAGTGGTCACATCACATTTGATGTTAAAATACCCTACAGAACCATCATGCGTGATGAAACAAAACAGAAGTTCACTGAAGTTGCTACAGTTCAACTAATGAAGAGCGTGTAAAACTCCCCAGCTCTACTGGTCTCAGCAGAGATTCATCTGTTATACCCCCTGACCACCATCTCAGCACGAATCTACCCTTCCCTCTTTCTTTATTGACACCACTGACCCATCCATTCTACCCTGACATACTACGTACCTCTTTTCATCCTCCATTTAACAGCATTAACTTACATCCCTCAGGCTGGTGTGAGCCTCTCCTGCTTATCTTAGTAGTCTGCCTACCTACCTCAGGCAACACAACTGCCATGTCCCAGCTTCTCTGGTCTCATTTCAGCCACTAATCCACAGGCCAAGCTGTAAAAGCCTGAGCCACTTACAATATATTTCGTTTTCCTTTTTGCTCTCTGCCTGAGCTCTGCATGCTGAAGAGGCAGCTTACAGCCACCAACAATCAGCTGTGCACCACCTGCTCCTCTAATCTCTCAACTATCTTCCTCAGATTAAGAAGAAATTTGATGCACCCTCAACCCGGTCTGGAATGAAATGATGGCTGGAGACATCACAGGAACATGAAAGAGCCACCACAGTTCCCACAAGCAAGTAATCAGGCTCTCAAGCCCTGGTACAGCCATCAAGTTTCCACCTCACAGAACCACCCAATCCCTGCCAAAGACCCCTTGCAACTTTAAATGGAACAAGCAGGACGTCCTAGAACTTCAAAATCCCAGAAGGATGGAGATTTGTCAGCTAAGTACATAGTCTGCTAAAATAGAATACAGACATAATGAGCAACAGGGTTTAATTCAGTTTGGTAATTATTCCACCTGTGGCCTAGGGTATTAATTCTGATAGATGAAGTCTTAGAGAACGAAGTCATTACTGATGCCTTAGAGGTGAACGCCTACAAAGTAAATGGCAGCAGTAAATCCATCAGTATCTAATTGTTGCAGTCTATATCGCAGTGTCTTTTTTTGCCCTGACTTCTCTTCCTGTCAGGTTTCCTTTCTTCCCCCTCAGTCAAAGATTTACTTTTCCCAATAATTAAATTAAATTAGATAAATTTGAGCCTAACTGAAACTAATTTTGTATAATATCCCAAACCATTTGCATGAGACTTGTAAAATTCTCCAAGCTATTTCTCTAGGCAGTGGGGTAGCTAATTATCTACCTCTCCAAGCAGCCTTCGAGGCATCACAGATCATTTGTTTAGAAGACGGAACAATTTCATTCCTTTGGAAAAAAAAAAAAAAAGTGCCCATTACAATCCTAATGCATCATGAAAATCCCATGTTTCCACAGAGATTAAATAATTCACCCTCCATGGAATATATTTGATCATATAATAACAGGCAGACATGAGCATTATGCCTTGAATATCATCATTTAGGAAATCAATCCCTAAACTTTTGGGATATGCAAATCCAATTGATTCCTGAACTGTGAAGCTCTCAAAATGAACTAAGACTTTTGTCACTGTACAAATAGTCACCACCCCTTTAGGTTGGGCTGTGCCAATTTATCTTGTAATCTCTCACATAAAACTGTTTCCATCTAGCCCAGTAAGACACCTTTTGTCCATAACCAGCTGGTTTACAGAAGACAAAATAAATTATGTAAGTGCTCTAATTGTGACTACTGTTCAGAAAAAGAATTACAAAGAAAAGCTGAATATGAAATTGCTCACAGATAGTCCCCCCACGTGTCCTTGGAATGCAGAGTTAGCCAAAGTCAATCCGCATTTTATTCCCTTGCAAACACAGCAAATTCCCACCACAGTTGCCCTCACTGCTTTGTTTCAGTATGTGCCTGGGCTGGGTTCTCATCTGCCCACACGGCTGCATCTTAGTAAAGCACAGAGACTCAAAGTGTCCAGATCCCTCTCGACTATTCCACTGTGGAGAATTTCAACTCCACAACAAAAGAATGAAAGCAAAGTGGTGTGTTACTGAGGCAAGACATCCACAACAGCAAGTCCTGTACACTGTGTCTCAGGTATCCAAATATAAAATTATTCATACAAGTTTAACACTAGAGTTCTTAACATTACTTGACAACTGAAGTTTTCAACTGATTATATCATTTCCGGAATCTACAATCAAGCACAACTTCAGCTAAAATTTGTTTACAGTACCTCAAAACATACCCTCAATCCACAGGTAGCCAAGGACTGTTGGCTTGGGTCAGTACCCCCTTCAAGGCTATGCTAAGGAATGAAGGACAGAACCACTTAGTATCTACGCAGAGGAGTCAGTTACGCTTTAGAATACACCCACTGATTGCAATTAAGCCAAATACACTTGTTAGTGTGCTTTTGGTTTGGTTTCAAAACAACGCCTATCTTGAAGGGAGAAGAGCATTCCCTCCTAACACAGGACAAGAGAAATCTCACAGAGCAATTCTCATCAATATTTTATCCTTCCGTTCTATGTCTGCAGTACCCCAAGACAGAGCTCAGGAGAAGCCTATTCATAACACGAGACATGAGGGAATCACATCATGAAGCCACTGTGCCAATTTTCTCCCTGCTTCTCGTTAGCAAGAGATTAAACCACAAATGATTCACCCAGGAACATTACCACATTACATTTATAACCGAAAGAAAACATTTTCAATTCCCTGGAGGGCTCAGTTACAACCCTTCAATTAAGCTACAATCCCAGACTCAATTCACATCTGCCTGAATGACTTCTGAGGACTGACACAAGTCAACACACAACTCTGGTGCTGAAGTCTTTTCCCTAAGCCTCAAATTCAAGCACTGGCCACAACATCTCAAGTACAGGTCTTAAGAGTAATGGCTTCTAAAGACTCGAGCATAATCAACTGCAATGGAAAATAACTGTATAAATTATTCTGATGCTTTCAAACCTTTGAGTACCTTTGCACCCATACAGAGAGGAGCAGCTGATGTTTGAGTATATCATCCACTTTACAGCTACAAGTTAAAAGCCACTGTGTCCATGAACAAAAAGACAAAGTGTTCTGACTGTTGTTTTTTAAGCAAACTTGATTTTCAGAAGACAGAGAAGTATTTCCTCCTGGCAGTTGAATAATTCAATTTAAAGTTTCAGCTCTCCCCATCTGACTCCATTACAGTATTTTCACTTCTATTACCTGCAGACTCACTGAAGTTGTAACTCGAAACATGAAAGGAAGTTTCCTCATCCTGCATTTCCCTGTGAATCTAAATACTCAAAACCAGCCACAAAACCAGCAATGCCCCAATGAAAAGACGCAAGAACTCAAATTATCCAGGTGCTCTCAGGGAGACAATAAGAATTTATTTCAGGTGCAGAGTAAACACATTAATCAGAACGTCAGCTTAAAATGCAGTAGACCAGTTCTGGAAGCAACCTCCTAATCATTCCTAGCTAAGTTACAGTACTCCTCAAGGCCACTGTTCCTCAGCTACCAGCTCCCCTAATATCCATGGAAAAAAAACAGCTCTTTCCCTTCTCGGACTGGCAGAAAATACAACTTGGAAATTCAATGGTCGTAAGAGCAGCATAAATCTGCTGAGGTCAAATCATTCCTAAAACATCCCAAAAAACTACTGGAATAGTTAAAAATCCTTGCTCAGACTCACGGATGACAACTAAAAAAACACCACTTGACTGGAATAGGCTTTGGAAAAGTAAGCTGTGAACCAAGCAGTATCAGCACATTTAGATTTCTTTGAACTACTCTGATCTGAGAAGCAGGTTGTATGGCTCTTATTGTCAAGCTTTTTATGAGATTTCTAATAGTTTATGAAAAATAGCAAAAACTACAAATACCAGAAATATTTGTAATTCTTCATGTCTTCAGTGCTCATAAGTTTTATTCCGTGAGATAATGATTTAATGAACTGTAGCTTAGTATAATACTTAGTCTGATAGCATGTCCAGGAGTCATCTAAAATAACAACGAAATGTCAAGCAAAATGGGTGACAAAGTTTTTGCTACAAGAAAGTTCATACACAAAGAAAACTAAGTGAAAAAATATAAAACTGGAGAAAGTAGTATTGTTATGCTGTGTTCTTGTAGGCATAATGAAAACAACATGTGAAGTACCTATTTGATCAACAGAGGAAAACCAGAATATGGCAGTGATCATGAAAGATGCATCTCACATCAGGAAATGAAGAAATATTTAGTGTATCAGATATCAGGTATTCAGCTGCTAAGTAGAAAACTTCTTTAGAAACAGTACAATAAAGACAGTAATTAAAGTAATATTTTCAAGTACAGTTTCCGAACCGTTGTAACAAAAAAGATGCATAATTTACTTGCACTGAATATTTTTTGCATGCAGATGTCAGATTTGTGCCACACTGAATTTATTCACTATCCTTTTTTTAAACCTAGACTTATACATTTTCCATGAAGTTATTTAAATACCACCCCAAGATGCAAAGTTAGCTCTGTGACTGCAAAGATTTTTTTAAAAGAAGTGTGAAATAATTAACATATTCATGAAGGAGTAGAATAACTGCAGACTTCAGGTGAAACACTAGCCTAAGTATCACCAGAACTAAATTGCATCAAAAGGTGCTAAACCCTGTGAGTGTGATTGCTGTAGCATCACCAAGACTTACCAAAACAGCCAAGTGTTCATGCGAGTCCCCAGGAGCTTTAGAGTCAAGAGAAATCTGATTTCTTAGTGAGGACACCAGCCTGAAAGCAGCCACCATGAGGGCACATAACTGAAGAAGAAACAAGAAAAAAGAAAGAGTTTCCAGTCAGACAGTAATGTTCTGACAAATTCAAAACAGCTGTTTTGCAAAGTGTACACAAATTTCTTGATTTGCTGCAGTTTCCTCCAATTACTACCTTTTAAAATAGACTACGAAATCCCTGCACAATAGATCTCTATGAATGTTGGATGCTAACTGGAAAAGCAGCATTGATTGTATGGCATTTTCCACAGTACAGACACGGCATGCAGAATAACAGTGTGGGAAAGAGCAGCACATTAGGATACACCTGATCTGTTCAGGTTCCTTCAACTGCTTCCCCCATCCCCATTTACAAAGCAATCAATGCAGCTTCTGTCTGTTGGTCTCACTACTGCACTGCATCCTGGCTCCTGAACAGAAAAATTTCAGTACTGCATTTCTGTCAACGTCAGAGCAGAGAATTAAGTGATTCTTCTCTACAAATATCTTCACACCTTTAATTTTGCTGTTACTGTTGAAGTCTTCCTTTATTCATGACTATGTGCCTTGTCTTTACTGGAGTCTTCTTGCCTGTAGTTTCTTCAAATGAAAAAGAAAAAAAAGTAGTCTCACTAACTGAACTGCAACAGCACAGAATTCATAACAACTTGACGCAATTAAATAACTTGACACAGTAAAATTAGATAATAAACGTTTTTAGTTCAAATTGTCTGCAGTTTTCCAGGGAGCACAGGATGGGATATTAGTAGCTTTTTGAGATGTGCTCCCATCACCATCCTTGGGACTGCTTTGATTTCAGCCAGCTGAGTTCTTCTGATGAGTTACAAATCATCTCAAAAACACGTGTGCTCTGAATCATAACAAATAAAAGCTAATAATTAAAGAAAGCATACAAGCACACACCTCATGCATCCCCTGTGACATTCACTGTCGTGTGCACTGCTCAACTTCATAGAATGCAACTGAAGACATATGTATCTATGGCAATGTTCTCCACATCACAAGAGTCAGACTCCTTTCCAGCTGTTACAGGTGAATTTGCACATCTGACATTTGTCTGCATTTGTTCATTAGCCCTTGTCTCCCTCCAGTGGAGGAAGAATCAGACCTCCCTGTATATTAAACAAGGTTCACAGACAGCTGTTGCGTGACTAAAGAGTACAGCTTGGCCTTCCTCGAAGGTTTTGTTGCCCCAGTGAAGGAGATCTGAGGAATACTCACTGTTCCTCAAAGTATTTAAATGATGTGAAGCTACATGCTAATTCTTTTCCATCTCCAATTCTTTCCTACTCAAGGTCAATCCTGTATGACAGACAGTCTTCTTATGCAGTCCTAATTTAACCCGTTAGCAAACTTGATCAGTACGTTCGTAGCTTTGTCCTACTTTCTGGTAAGCAGTGAAAATAAAAAATAAGATCAATGTCAAAACCAGTCCTCGAGAACCTTCACTAATAACCTCCCTCACGTCTTACAGTTTCCTTCAACACAGTTTCTCATCTCCTCAAGTCACTCCCAACATGACACTGGTACTAAGCACCCTCTCCTGCAGCTCAGCTAGCACTTCCCTACATAGCACCAGATGCTGCTGAGGTTGGGTCCAGTAAAATCTTTCCTTTGCTCTGAAAGCAAGCGACATGGCTATGAGAGGGACAGAGAGCACATCACAAGAGGTGTTGGCAGGGAGAAAATTAAAAGCCATCATACCTGACCCTGGTGGGACCTTATCTGAAAGGTTACGTACAGCTTTTTCAGTTAGCCAGAAGTGGAGAAAAAAAACTAACTCCATAAATGAATGCAATTAAAAATCCACACATGACAGCCAATGGAAGAGCTTGTTTTTATAGCTTACCACAATGAACAGCAAGTGCTAAAAGTTGGGGAAAAAGACAACTATTTAAGTAAAAGAACAACGAGAACCACCCCAAGTCTAACTAACTAAGCATTCTGGCTAAAAGGAGAGCTACATCATGAAGGGAACAGCATTATGGAATAGAGTTATAGCTGGCAGGAGGGAATCAAAAAGCATTTTATGTTGAACAGTTTCATTGGTAGGACACATAGTGTGGCTGTTGTCCCAGCTAAAAGCAGAAAGCTCCCTAGCCCAGTTTCTTCCACTACTTGCACTGATTCTTTCCAGAGCTCCTCAGTGCTAACTTCACCTCCAATGCAGGTCAGGAGAATAAGAGGCTCATTTGGTGATTTACTGCAGATAGGAAAGAGGAAGGAGAAGGGGACGAGGGTTAACTGCAGCATGAGAGGATATTTTGGAATGTCAGAGTTTGCTATATTGTCATTTCCATGAGTCTATTTTATTTAAAATTAAAATATCTCATAACTACTCTAAGTGAGTTTAAACCAGCTGGTTCTTCAAACAGGTGCAGCACTCAGAATTTTCCCACTATGTTCTTGGGAAGGTGGTTCTCTCTCGTATCTCTAATTCATCCTCTGAAATTATTTCATTTAATAGAATTCAGCCTCGATTCAGTCATTCAAAAATAAATTGATAAAATCATTTACAGGTTTAGCCTGTCAGTATATCCCCTTCTACACATCAGTATCTGCACTAACACACGGTATGGCTACCATAAGCCTATAATGGAAACAGGCAGCACTTGACAAAGAATATTCCCACACCAACTTCAAGTCCTCCCTGCTTGAATAGAAGCGAAACAGACCTTGGAACATCCTGCAGACATTCTTGATCCTCTGAACTTGCATGAAATCAAGTTATCAAAAGAAAAAAACCATAGCAAGTTTTACGTTAAAATGAATTGCCCACTTCTCCTTTCAGAAGAGTCAATCTGATCAGCTCACTGGTCAATGCATTTGCCCAGGATGCCAGCCAAGCCAAAATCCCTGCTTTACCTGACTTAGCATCAGCTCAGTGCTCGAGGAACCATCCTAACTACCAATCAAGTAATTCAGTTTCAGGCAATACTTGGTTATTTACATTGAATAAAAAAGCAAACACACAAGTGATCATGCAACAGAGCTCTCAGTTCTGTTGTGGATGGTAACACCACACACTGGTGCACAAGAATAGGAGAGCTCACGAAGTAACTGGTATCAATTACTCTGCCTCTGTCCCTTCGGCTGAAAAAACATCACAAAGAAAATTTCATTAGCATCGGAATACCATGAAAGGCACCAGTTTCTAATGGAAACAGTTCATACACCTATTACCAACCAAATCTGGAAAATAAAAAGCTACAGCATTAGTAAAATTGCCATTTAAATCTCGGCTGTCTATCGCTTAACAGTAGCAAGTACCTGCACTGTACCTGTCCCATTTCTTGAAGAAATCACACAGACATTACTGATGACACTATTTAGTCAGCATGTGACTAAGATGAGCAATGGTTCTGCTTTCAACCTGAATCTTTGAATAAAACAAAACAATCAAACACAAGAGAAAGCCCATCAGTAGCTATTTCAGACTTGCAAACCTAAAGTAAAGCAGCACTGACAGGTCAGACTTATTCAAGAAACTTGTCAGGAAGCGAGATATGATTACTTCTGGAGCTATTTCTCACATAGCAGACTTTCCTTTATAGATTAATTTTTTCCTCAAGAAACAAAATGTAATTATCTGGACTATATATATTCGCCACAGAACAAATGAACATAAGCAGACGTGGCATCTGAGTTACCATGCAAGAGGCTTTCTAGTGGCTCCCTTCTTTGGAAGCACCAAAGCAACAGTGCCGTAGAGAACTAGGGGAACTGCTGGTTATGTTTCACAAAACTTACTAGACCAAAAACAGCAAGCATTAGGTTGTTCAACATGAATAAGCAACAGTTCTCGATAAAGTAAGGCTTACTTGCTTTCTCTTAACAAAACAATCAGTTATCTTTTCCAAAGACAAATGAGGAGATTTCATGAACAGACAAAGCAAGACGAATTTGAATACTTTTATTTTCTTTAAATATGCAGACTAGGGGACTCACTTTAATACCTAAAAGTGACCAAGTCAGTTCAAATACTCCCATACATTTTTACATGTACTCTTGTAAAATACTTCTTTTCCTGCATTAGAAGGTTGAAAGAATCGTCAAGGATCACTATATGAAGCCCTGCTGTTTGTTAATAAAGATGCTTATGAGAGAATTAAGTAAACTACTGTGGAGAAGCCAAGTAGTTCAACTCCTTTTACTCTCTATGGCATATTTGGAAAAATAACATTATTTCCTCTCCCCATCTTTCTAGTGCGACTGATCAACCTTCCAAAAATACAAAAGAAGAGTACTTACCTTGCCTTTTCCCCTCTGGAAAGAGGCACAGAAAAGAAATCTCACCAAAATATCAGGTTCTAACTTGTTTCAAAATGTTATTACAAATTTTATTGTGTTCTATGTCATCGTCACTCCCTACAGCACATTCCCAGCTGATGTGCTGAGCAAAGCTTATGAAAACAAAGCCGAACAGTTTGCAACAACTTTCAAGAGAAATGGACTAATGAAGTTCTGTTTGTCCCATCTCCAAGACAAATTTAAGTGCTGGTGGTGTCACGGAATAAAAGGAAGTTCATGAATGAAAAATGATTTCCCTGTTTGGGAACAGGCTGGACACTGGAGCAGGAGATCTTGATTCATTTCTCTTTCTGCTTGTATACTTTGATACAACTTGCAGGAAAACTATTATTTGGTCTGGGGCAGCAATGCAAAAAAGCAAAGGCTTGTTGTGTTGCGTCCCATGTGTTCCAAATTCCCAAAGTGTATAAAAAAAAGGATAATTAAATACACCAACCTCCAAAACACATTCTGGATATTAATTAGCCAACAAATTTGGAGCACTTTGGAAATGAAAAGTGGTGTGAGTATTCACTGCTTTGCACATACAGAAAGCATTCATTTTTAGATCTGTAGGAAAAAAACACACATTGAGATGTGGAACTCCAATTATTAAGCCTTTCTGCTACAGCAGGTTTTCAGAATTATTTCAAGAAACAAATCTGTAGATTGTTAGTGTGGCTATTATAGAAGACTGCAACTCTTGAGGTCAGAAATAAAGTACAGAAGCTGTTAAAAATAGTGACAGAAGTCAAATTAAGTCTGGGATAATAATTGGGAAACTTTTCTGGGTCTGTACAGAAGAGCAAGTTTATCAGTTTTCTAACCGGAATAACGCATGACTCAAGAGAAGTCTAATTCAGCATATTCAATTCCAAAGTGAACAAATTAAACTATAATTAACACTCTTCACTGAGTTATGATCATTATGCGCCTGAAATGGTTATGAGCACATCAATTCCTTCAACTATTTCTCTATATAAAACACAGTCACACAAGTATTCGGCTGGTAAGGGACCATTGGAGATGTAGCCCAACTCCACCAGCTCACAAGGGTCAGTAAGAGCAGGCTGCTCAGGACTGTGGCTGGATTTTAAGAAATCTCAAGGTTGGAAACGTCTCAGCTTCCCTGGGCAATCTGTTCCAGGGTATGACCAAATTCACACTGAAATATTTTATTTTTTTTTTTAATATTTATATGGAATTTCTTGTATTTCAGTTCTTGCCCACTACGTTTTGTCCTTTCACTGGGCAGCACTTGGACAATCGTTTCCCATCAGAGACTTACATGTACTGATCAGTTCTCCTCCC